GTGTGTGTGTGTGTGTGTGTGTGTGTGTGTGTGTGTGTGTGTAAGATAAAAGCACCACAACAAGGATTTTTCATGCTCCATTTGTATCACAGTCTCACTACATCCTGCCACAGGCTGGAATCCGCCCCCACAAAGATCACCCCCCCCTCCCCGCAATGCCCCAGCCCGTGCTATCACTGCTGCCCAGGAGGTTTCCTCACATATGTCTCAGGTTCTCTGCCCAATCAGGGGAACTGCATGGGCACCAGCCAGCACCTGGCTGTGCATGACTGGGCTCATGGTTAAGGCATTGTATCGGGACTCAATAAACATGGGGACAGTTCCCAGCTCTGCCCCGCTCTCGGTCACCATGTGTCTGGGCACAGCCCATCACACCAGGGCCCTGATCTCAGATGGGAACTTCCCATGCTAAGAAAGAATGAGCTGTGTATCTCAATGTTAATTTCACAGTTAAATACCCTTATGTAGACTTAGGTTGGTTCCAGGGAAAAATGAAACAAGTTTACATATAAAGTTTCCTGTGTAAACATTTAAGCTTTGGAGTTTTGCTGGCTGGTAATACTGAGTAGTAGTTGCATCTCCACAGGAAAGTCTGATTGTGCCTGGTTCCCTGGCTGTAGCCAAAATTGGTTCAAATATTGAAATAAAACATGCCTTTTAAAAAATAGGTAAGTTCTAAGCCCTCAGTAAAATAGGTTCATTCAGTAATAACTATTTTGGGCAGATGTTTTAAGGCACAATACAAAAGTCAGAGGATCACCCAACTGCCAAAAGCAGACACGATCTAACTCTGTTCAGCATCGCCATGTAAATTAACAATTCAATTCTAATCAAGCAGCTATTTGAAAGAAAGGAAATCCCTGGGCAAACATCCGTAACACTGTCCCTTTGCAAGGAAATTCCTGGTTAAAACCCTTAACTCTGCCCCTTGGAAGACAAAGGAATTTAACACTCTTAATTTTGCCCCTTTGAACGCAAGGGAATTCCCAGCCAAACACCCTTAACTCTGCCCTGGCATGATCAGAAGTTCTATAAGACTGCCCTGCCTTTTCCCCAGTTTGGGTGTTACTGTACATGTTGTCCTGTGCATCTGCATGGCCTTTCTCTGCCCCGGACATAGTATGGTCAGCTGAGTCCCAGAGGTCCAGAGCAAGAAGAAGGGGAAGAGAGGTTTCCGGGAACAGCCGGTGAAGGTGAAGATGTGTGACATGCCCTCGGCGTTGTAGAAGGCCAGGCTCCCCCGCTCGCAGTCCAGGTGCACCCGGACTATCCTGGGTGCTGACTCCAGCTGCAGCGGGGTCTCGGGGCAGGTGAGAGCACTCCACTCCCCCTCCTGGCACTGCAGGGCCCAGACCCCCACATCCGGGGACAGCCGGAACACCCCCATGCGCTCCATGGTGCCCAGGGCTGCCCCGATGGCCCAGTCACCCCACCGGCCCACCTCCACGTCCCAGTAGTGTTGCCTGGCTGCGAAGCACTGGGAGGCCAGGACGCAGGGGAGGGGGTCAAATCTCTGGTCACTCTTGGGGACGTCTTGCCAGAGGATGCCGCACGTCACACTCCTGCTGTCCACTGAGAGCACCAGGAAGGGGTTGGCAGTGTTCTGGTCCAGCGTCACATCTGCTGCTGACAGGGACACTACAGGGAGATGGATACGGGCGCTAGGGCAAGTCACAGCAGTACCTCCTCTCTGCTCAGCTCCTCAAGTCTCTCGCTACGGGGCCTAGTGAATAGAGCACTAGGATACCTGGATTCTATTTCCAGCTCACGCCTGATGGCTGACCTGGGGCCAGTCACTTCCCTTCCCTCCCCCTCGCTTTCCCCATCTGTAAAATGGAGCTAAGCATGATTTGGCTCTTCTCTGACCTAAGAAGTCAACCTCTTTTGGGAGGACCTCTGAATGGGACACAGGATCCACCAGGACTGGTGGGATATTTTCCATGGGAACAGTTTTTGGCTGGAAAAATTGGACAACAGGGGCTGGATCACGTGATGATTACCTGTTGTGTTCATTCCCTCTGGGGCACCTGGCATTGGCCACTGTTTGAAGATAGGATACTGGACTAGATGGACCTTTGGTCTGACCCAGTCTGGCTGTTCTTATGTTCTAAAATTCTATGCCTGCTTTCTGGGGACAGAGTGGATGCTTTGTTGAAAAACCAGATGCTCCAAAACCAAAATATTTTGGCCAAAAAAACAGACAACCTTCACCCCAAATCCAGAATGCTTTAGTCCCAAAACCAGTGTTTGCCCAAAATATTTTGGCTCCAAACCAGATCATTTTAATCTAAAATGCAGAATACTTTGGTCAGAAGCCAAATAATTTTCATCCAAAAAACAAACTAGGGAGATTTTTGGCTGGAATGTTTCAGGTTTTGACATTTCGATGGAGAGTCGGAATTATCCACAGAAAATACGAACAAAAATGAAAAGAGAAAAATCTTTCTTCTTGGACTTTTCCATGGTAACAGACCCCTCTTTTCCACTAGCCCTGTGCTCAGGAAGAATCTCACCGGGGCCATCTACAAAGGTCACTGCATCTCCATGCTCTTGCTGGGGAAAGCTGAAGGATATTGCAGTGGTGTCCTGTGCTTTGTATTACCCAGTGTCTGTGTGCGGCTAGCAGAGCTCCCGGGGTCAGGAGGGAGGGCTGGAAGCGGCACTTGTCCCCCGGTCTCCAGGCAGCCTGTGAGCACAGCCAAGTCACCGCAGGGCCGCCTGATCACCCGCGGATGTCAGCCCACCAGCAACAACAGATCTCAAGCTGCTCAACCCATGTGCCCCCAGCTGCGATCTCTCCTGGGCCAGCCCTGCTCCCCGCCTTGCCCCCTGTCCTGCCCAGTCTGTTCCATTGCTGACCCTTGGCCCTGACTTGGCTCTGACCGTCAGCACTGTTTCTAGCCACTGACTCCAGCTCCAACCACAAGGCCTGGCTGCCCATGCCCCAGTTCATAACACCCGTCCTCGTGTTCCTAGCCTGGGAAAGATCCATTGTCTAAGCTCAGCTGGGAATCTCAGATCCAGGCTTTCAGTGTGATGACTGTGGTCAAGTCTTTTAGGCCCAGCTCCTCAAAGCTACTTAGGCACCAAAGGGAGTTAGGAACTGTTCCTTTGAGCCCTACCTCTGGCCTGTGATAGTCAATACATGGAAGACAAGGAGGGAGCTCAGAGACAGCAGGAGTCAAACCATGCGAGTACTGGAGATAAGTAGAAAACTTTTTTTTTACCTTTATCAAGAAATTGTCTCCATTCTGCAATGATAAAAAAGGAGGTCAATTAGCTGGGGAAGCAGCGAGAACAGATGAAACAAATCCCATCTAAATTTGGGGGGGGGTTAAACAAAACACAGCCATTTCCTCCCCAATGAAAGTTTTCATTTTGTTCAAAATTCTCCATTGTTTTTTAATACAAAACCACAATTTTTTAAAGTAAAGAAACAGTTTTGGTTTGCAAATATTCTCTGTTGTTCACTAAAAAACACTAGGAAAATTTCTATTAAAAGTTTTTAAAAAAATCTTTTGAAACTTTACTGAGGAAAATTCCTTCCCATTTGCTCAGCAGCCCAATACTGAACCACAGCTCGCACACTCATTGGGCGGGAGCCTGATTCCAGCAACCGGAGAAAACTGGGAGCAAGCAGGCCAGACCCCCAGCTGGTGTCAATCAACCGTAGCTCCATTTGGGTGAACATGATCACAGCAACTGGCAGCAGCTCTGGGTCTGGACCCATCCCGCGCTGGGTGCCATCCCCTGCGGATCTCTCTCCACCTCAGCTGACTCTAACCCTAGACAGCATCTTTTGCTTTCCCCACTCCAGCCTCTGAAGCATCTCTGGTCCTTCACACTCTTCCAGGTCCCTCAGACTCCTTCCTGGCTATGCAGGTGTCTGTGCAGAGCCTGGCACAATGTGGCCCTGATCTTGGTCACTGCGTGTCTGTGCCGCGCCTGGCGCGACGGGGCCCTGATCTCGGTCACCATGTGTCTGTACAGTGCCTGGCGCGACGGGGCCCTGATCTCGGTCACTGTGTGTCTGTGTAGTGCCCGGAACTATGGGGCCCTGATATCGGGTGGGATCTCTCAGTTCTGCCCTGATAAACTATTATGCGATGGCCGCTGAGGCGATGTTACAGAGACACGAGTGATCGTGTGTCGGGAATACTCACCGCGCTCTTTGGACACCTCCTCTGGAAGAGAAAGGAAGAGGTGAGGCTGTGAGCAGGAGCGACATTCAAGGGGGATTTACTGCGCTCTGTGTGGCTCATCTCTACCATCCCGCTACGACTGTTTCTCCCTCACCTCCCCACTGAGCACGCACGCCACTCCCATCCCATTCCCACCTCCTGGGACAGACCAAGGGGCGCGCATGGCTCTGGGGAAATGTATGTATGTCCTAGAAGGGGCAGCCAGGGAGAATCCATTGGCCCAGCCCTCCCAGTGGGTGTCCATTTTCACCCTCTAGGAATGAATTTTTAGCCAGATCTGTGCTCTCGAAAACCCTCCAGAAAGAGCCTCATTGCCGGAGGCCATACAGGCCGATCAAGCCTGAGAGAGAGAGACGTGGCTGGCCAGGCAGAGTGCAGGGACTGGCTCGCCCAATGGCCAGTTTCCCTGGGATCCATGGTGCTGGGCAGGACTTAGGCACAATCATTTGGGCTTATCCTTCTCCTTCCTCTCAGCTTTTCCCCTGATTAAGCCAGAGGCAGCATGGGCCAATGGTTAGAGCACTGAACAGGCCTTTAGAAGTGCTGACTTTGGTTCCTGGATTTGCTGCTGAACTGCTCGGAGAGCTTGGGAAAGACACTGCTGCTCTCTCTGCCTCAGTTTCCCCTGCCACCCTTTGTTTATGTTGACTCTATTTTATTTCGCTCTTTAGGGGAGGGAGGCTGTCACCATGTGTCTGTACAGTACCTGGCGCGACGGGGCCCTGATCTCGGTCACTGCGTGTCTGTGCAGTGCCCGGAACTATGGGGCCCTGATATCGGGTGGGATCTCTCAGTTCTGCCCTGATAAACTATTATGCGATGGCCGCTGAGGCGATGTTACAGAGACACGAGTGATCGTGTGTCGGGAATACTCACCGCGCTCTTTGGACACCTCCTCTGGAAGAGAAAGGAAGAGGTGAGGCTGTGAGCAGGAGCGACATTCAAGGGGGATTTACTGCGCTCTGTGTGGCTCATCTCTACCATCCCGCTACGGCTGTTTCTCCCTCACCTCCCCACTGAGCACGCACGCCACTCCCATCCCATTCCCACCTCCTGGGACAGACCAAGGGGAACGCATGGCTCTGGGGAAATGTATGTATGTCCTAGAGGGGGCAGCCAGGGAGAATCCATTGGCCCAGCCCTCCCAGTGGGTGTCCATTTTCACCCTCTAGGAATGAATTCTTAGCCAGATCTGTGCTCTCGAAAACCCTCCAGAAAGAGCCTCATTGCCGGAGGCCATACAGGCCGATCAAGCCTGAGAGAGAGACGTGGCTGGCCAGGCAGAGTGCAGGGACTGGCTCGCCCAATGGCCAGTTTCCCTGGGATCCGTGGTGCTGGGCAGGGCTTAGGCACAATCATTTGGGCTTATCCTTCTCCTTCCTCTCAGCTTTTCCCCTGATTAAGCCAGAGGAAGCATGGGCCAATGGTTAGAGCACTGAACAGGCCTTTAGAAGTGCTGACTTTGGTTCCTGGATTTGCTGCTGAACTGCTCGGAGAGCTTGGGAAAGACACTGCCGCTCTCTCTGCCTCAGTTTCCCCTCCCACCCTTTGTTTATGTTGACTCTATTTTATTTCGCTCTTTAGGGGAGGGAGGCTGTCACCATGTGCCTGTACAGTGCCTGGCGCAACAGGGCCCTGATCTCAGTCATTGTGTGTGTCTGTGCAGCACCTGTTACTATGGGGCCCTGACTTTGTTTGCACAGGGGTGACTAACTTTCGCCTTCCAGGAAAGAAGTAGTTTGTATGGAATTTTCTCTCTGTAACCCACACGTTCCCCTAGGAAGAAGTATTGGCCTCTCAATGAAACACGTTTCCTACTGCACTGCCTGGAATGAGATTGTTACCTTTGAGTACCCGGAGCTTTCGGAAAAGATAAACAGCCAAAGTCACGAGGAAAACAGATACTGGTAGAAAGATGAGAAAGGCTGTCATTTCCGGGGCAAGCCTGGGGAAGAGCCCTGAGGGAGAACAAATATTGCAGCTTCTCAGAGGAGCAGCGAGAGCACTCCTAAGCACTTTGCTGGGAAAGGTGAAGTCAATGGAGGTACTGAGGGCTGAGAGCCAGATTCTGAGCTCAGCTCCCATGGGCTAATCTGGAGTCACCCCCCAAGTGCCCTGGGGGCAAGGCCAGATTCTGATCTCAGCTTGCCTTGAGTCAGTCTGGAGTCACTCCCCAATGCAATGGGGACAGGGCTGGATTCTGATCTCAGCTCCCCCGGGGTCAATCTGGAGTCACCCCTGCCTGCAATGAGGACAGGGCTGGATTCTGATCTCAGCTCCCCTGGGGTCAATCCAGAGTCACCCCCTGTCTGCAATGAGGCCAAGCCACGTGGGTAAGCATCAGGGAGGAACCTGAGGTGTGCAGGCAGCCCACCTGTGATACGAATAGTTGTCTCTCTCTCTGGGCCGGAGAAGCCGGCTCTGACAGTGCAGGTCAGTGCTGGGTCCGAGCTCTCAGTCACCACCAAGGAGCTGGAGACGTTGAATAGGCCGTTGTCACTGCGCGGTTTCTGTTCAGACTCGGGGCTCAGGGTCTCCCTGCGGCCATTCCTCCAGATCACGCGGGGCTCCGGGTACCACCCCGCAGAGAGACACAAGACCCACACCCCCAGGTCCTTGTGCCCAGCCATGTGCAGGACGGGGTCTGAGCCAGAGCCTGGGGGATGGACAATCAGTAGCAAAAAGTTAACACATCTGTGATAGCAGTGATCTCAAAGCACTTTACAAAGCCGTGGATATGCCCCACTGACTCTAATGGAGCTACAGCCCATTGACCCCGGCTGGGGATCTGGCCCCATTGACTCCAATGGAGCTACAGACACTGGCTGGGGGTCTGCCCCCCACAATTTTAAGCCTTTGATTCTGGGAATGGCACTTCTAAAGGCTGCACTCTGGGGAGGCATCCCAGGGAATTTTAATGGGAGCTGGGTACCCAAATCCCCAGGACAACTGTGGAAATCTCCGCTCCTGAATCTGCAGGTGAAATGCAGCAAGACAGCGCACGGGTCCAAGGGCGTGTCATGATCCCCCATTGCACTGCGACGCCCGGCGCTCCCGTGGGAGTGAGCCACACGCTGTCGGAGCCGCTCACCTGTCACGCTGAGCTCCAGCAGGGCCGTGCTGTAGTGAGTAGGTGACTGGACCTCGCACAAGTGTTGCCCTTCGTCTGACAGCTGGATGTCCCGGATCCTCAGGGAGACATTCCCGTTGGCCAGGCCCTGGATGACGAGCTCTGTCCTGCCCTGGTAGCCCGTTCCTTGTACCTCGCTCCCGTCCGGCAGGTACACGTGGACATCCTGGCCCAGCTGGGGACGGCTCCATTTCACCTGCATGGCCTGGGCACTGAGTGCGGGAGAGAGGTGGCAGGGCAGCAGCACAGTGCCCCCCAGCGGGGCGGAGACGGGGCTGGCGGGACCCAGCACATGGAATGACTCTGGGGGAGAAAACAGCGTCTGGTCAGAGAGCATGGGAGGGGGAGGGGCTGATGTTCAGCGAGTCCCCGCCGAGAGGTGGCCAGCTTGGCGGTCTCAGTTCCCAGCTCTGCCACCAATCCCTGGTGTAGCCGCAGGCCAGTCACTCCATGCCTCAACGCCCTTGCTGGGACACAGGGATAAAGATCCAGGCTTCTTTAGAGACACTGTGGCCAAGTGACTAGAGCGCTGGCCTGGGAGGCAGGAGTCCTGGGTTCATTCCTGGCTCTGCACTGGCCTGCTAAGTGAATGTGGGCAAGGAACTTCCCTGTCTGTGCCTCGGTTTCCCCATGTGTACTGTGAGAATAATGATACTGGTCTCTTCTGCAAGACACCCTGAGATCTACTGCTGTAAAGTGCTAGATAAGAACTAGGTGCTATTATTAGAGTATTTGCTCTTTGGGGCAGGGACTGTCTTTCATTGTGTGTCTGTGCAGCAACAGGGCCCTGATCTCAGTCACCGTGTGTCTGCGCAGCGCCCAGAACGACGGGGCCCTAAGCACGGCCACTGTGTGTCTGTGCAGCACCTGGCATGACGGGGCTCTGATCTCAGCCACCGTGTGTCTGCGCAGTGCCAGACACTATGGTATCTCTAGGTGCTACTGTAACAGTAATTACCTCCAATGACACTACATCAAAAGAATACCAGGTAGTTAATCAAGCATTCAAAAGTCAGGAGCGGTCAGATTTCCAGAGGCTTGAAAAACCTCAACTCTGCTCCCCTTGTGGGCTCATCCTATGCGCTGAAGAAGTGTAAAACCAGCGTGTGAGTGTGTTATTACAGACCAACCCCAGAATGAGGAGGCCTAGGTACAGCCGTAATGTGAAATAGATTTAACTGAACCTGCGGGTGTGTGTTTGCACGTGTGCACACTTAAACTGATTTAAACTTAGCTCACACTCATCAATTTCCAGGCCTGAGGCCAATTGGGAGAACTAGTGGGAAGCCACCAGAGAGGTGCCCACACTGGTGGTAGGGCCAGTTTAACTAGAGAGCTTTTAACCCATTCATGCTGGCGAATTGTGGGGTATAGACGAGCCCCAGTAGAGGGTGGTAGGTGTATCTCGGGGCACTGGCCCCTGCTAACCAAGAGGGCATCTTCTCTAGCACCCAGCACCTTGTGAGGGTTCAAGCTGCCCATGGCTCGCTGCGCACTGGCCATCCGAGGTGGTTTGGGCCCTGTGCTACCCTTGGGATGTGGAACTAAGACGCAGCAGTTGTGGAATTGCACTGGATGTGGGGGAGCATTGGTTTGGAACAGACTGGATCACATCCTGACGGTGTCCCCTTGGCACACATGCCAGTCTCACCTGGGGCTGCTGTCCCAATGCCCAGGAGGAGGCAGAGGGCAACTGGTATGGCCTGAAAGCGGTGTTGGGCGCTCTGCATCCTGCGGGCCTCTGGCAGACGTCTCCCGTCACCGTCACAGAGCACCGGTCACCGGACAGAGGGGGCATCGAGCTCTGGGCTCCTCATCCGCATGGGACCTGGAAAGGCACAACACCCAGGAGCCCCTCAACAGGTCAGTTCTTCAACCAAAAGCTTTCCCCTCGAAACAACGGGGCCTCCTGCAAAATCAGCATTTTCTCTTAAGAAATTGTATTTACTTTCCACAGGAAACAAAACCGTCAGCACCAAAACCTGCCAGGGGAACCCCCCCCTGCGTGCGTTTACCTGGCGTTTCCACGCTGTGTTTTGCTTTGAAATGGCAGATAAAAGCCCAACTCTTGGCTCCTTTTCAGACTTTTCGCCTCCCTAGTACAGAAAGAAGAAATGCAAAGTGAAAGTCGCCCCGCGTCCCAGCCGGTAATTGTCTCCCTCTTTGAGCTGGAGGAAGTGACATACGGTAACATGGCGGTAAGAATAATTCAGCAGGAGAGAAACGAGTTAATTGACTCATTAAAACGTGGGGAAATGGAGAAATCGCCCTTTCCCCCCAGGGGCTGGTGAATAAACCACAGGGGCTGCGGCACCCCCTGCTGGAAGTGGTTTCCCAGGGTTTACAATTCCAGAGCTCTCAGCACCCGCCCCCCGTGCACTTTGTTCCAGCGCCGCTGCAAGAAATCGTTTCCTGGCGTTGTCCCCCGGAGCCCCCCATCTTTCTGGGCAGGGCTCCCCCGGTCCCACAAGCGGAGGGGGGGCTGGGAAGCGGGGTGCCAGCTGTCCGGGACGGGTTGTCTCAGAATCTCCCCTTTCTGGAGGCAGCTGGCCCAGGGAGTGTGTAATGTGCTACTTACGGTTACTGACACCTGGCGCTCAGGGCCAGGGGGTGGTTTCAGGGGCTCGGGAGCAGGCGGGATGTCCTGGGGGTTTGTAAACACGAGACCCGGACGGGAACCAGGCGGAGCATTTTGGAGAGTCCCCCGCGGGGTGAGCTGGCCCCCGACACGTCCCACCCCGCCGCAGGACAAGGAAATATCCCTCCCCCCTTCCGGGGTGTTCCCGACCTGGCCACCGAGTCCGCCCCGGAACAGCCAGACATCGCATGGCTGGGGCTGGGCTGCACAGCAGGGCTGCACCCAGCGGACTCTGATCTCCCCCATCCCTCCCTGTCCCCCCGCCCCGCAGCGATGCCAACACTGGGGCTGTTTTCTTAGGATTATGATCATTAATAAGAACACCGAGCAACTGGGGCGCTGGGACAATGTGGGGGCGGGGGATGCTGAGAGCCACTGACCCACGCTGTGAACCCCATGTATCATGCAGCACTTTTACCTTCACCAGGGGCATTTCTTGCTGCTTTCTGCAGCACTCGGCAACTCCCCGTCTTGTTGTACAGAGATGAAGAAATAAGGGACGTCCCTTGTAATAAGGGACTGTTGGCAACCCCAGGTCAGAGACCCACAGGCTCAGCCAGTCTGGTATCGCCCCCCCCCCAAAAAAACAGATCAGTGGGCTCAGCCAACCGGTATCTGACCCCCCCCCCCTGCCACCCCAGAACACAGGGCCGGCTTTAGGACGATTCACCCAATTCCCTGGACTTGGGCCCCGTGCCTAAGAGGGCCCCACGCCCGCGCCTAAGGGCCCTGCGCCTTAGGCACCTTTTTAATTTTTATTTTCTCACCCAGCGGCGGTCCATTCCGGGTCTTCAGTGGCATTTTGGCGGTGGGGGGTCCTTCAGTGCCGTGGAAGACCCGGAGCTGAGTGAAGGACCCCCCCGCCGCCAAAGTGCTGCCGAAGACCCGGACCGCTGCCAGGTATTCAAATCGGGCCAGCAGGTCCTAAAGCTGGCTCTGCCAGAACAGATCGGTGGGTCCAGCCAGGGGGTATCTCGCCCCCTCCCACCCCAGAACTGATAGGTGGGGCTAACCACCCATTATCTCGCCCCCTGGCACCCCAGAACTGATCAGTGGGCCCAGCCAGCCCTGTGTCCAGTTTCCAACAGTACCAGCTGTGCAGTGGCAGATGTAACAGCCCGGTGATGGGGCTCTAGCAGGATAAACCACCCACATGGGTTAATTCCTTCCTCGCTCTCCAGCGTTAGACAGTGTCTCTGTCTGTGGCTCTCCTGGCTGTTTGTTACAGCGCTGCCTCCTTTGGGGCTTTTTCTTATATAGGCTCCTATTACCCCCCACCCCCGTCCTGATTTTTCACACTTGCTGTCTGGTCACCCTTCTCCTCTCTCAGACCCCAGCCCTGCTAATCTCACAGTGACACATGGTGACAGGGGGTCCCACAGGCTAACCGTGGGTGACACAGGGAAAAGTGAGAGCCAGCCACCCCATTTCCTCAGGCCACATTTTGAATGTCTCCCCCTTCCATTTCCACTGACCCGTCTCCTGGCTGGGAGCAGCCGGTCTTGGGCGTCACTCATTATCTTCAAAAAAAGAACAGGAGTACTTGTGGCACCTTAGAGACTAACAAATTTGACTAACTGTCATTATGCAAGGCACTGCATTTAGCCGTATGGAGTGGAAATCCATCAACCTCATGAAAAAACTCGTACAGATACAGACAGACATCATCTTCCTTTCCAAATGCAAGCAGATGGACATCATACCAAAAAAATTTGTTAGTCTCTAAGGTGCCACAAGTACTCCTGTTCTTTTTGCGGATACAGACTAACACGGCTGCTACTCTGAAACCACTCATTATCTTGGGGTCCTCTGGTGGGTCCAGGGATTATGAGCACTCCCAAGGCAAATGGGCGGATTGGAGGTATCAGGGCGGTGAATTGTCACACCCCTGAGGTGCGTAAATGGTGACTAGATCTTGTACCAGGTCTTAGCCCTGGGGCAATTCCTCCCCCCACCAGGCACCTGGTCAATATCCTCCAGGCAGGCGCTATAGTGCTGGACGCACCTGCCCCTCCTGCTGTCCTGCAAACCACCACCTCGCTCTCAGCTCCATTCCCTGCGGGCCACCCCTGGAGCGGTGCCACAGGCACCACAGACAGCGCTGCCCCCTCGGGATTGGATCCCAATGGACCCTGCCCGGAGAATTTTTAGCCTTTGCTGCAGCAACGGGTGTGGTATCTTGCTCTTTTGGTGGCAATCACCGAGGGCTATGGACTTTGTGCCAGGGCTGGGACGATGGAGGGGTGTGAGAAGGAGACAGCTGCTAGCTAGCAAGCTCCCACTCACTTACAGAGCAAGCTTGGGAGCTCTGATCAAAGGGACGCTGACTCCAGTGGAGTGACGCTGATTGTCCCCAGCTGCAGATCTGGCCTCATTGACTCCAATAGAGCTAGGGTCCATTGATCAAAGTCTAAAATATGGAAAGAACAAGTCAAAAATTACTTAGACAAGTTAGATGTCTTCAAATCATGAGGGCCTGATGAAATGCATCCTAGATTACTCAAGGAGCTGACTGAGGAGATATCTGAGTCATTAGCAATTATCTTTGAAAAGTCATGGAAGCTGGGAGACGTTCCAGAAGACTGGAAAAGGGCAAATATAGTGCCCATCTATAAAAAGGGAATAAGGACAACCTGGGGAATTACAGACCAGTCAGCTTAATTTCTGTACCCGGAAAGATAATGGAGCAAATAATTAAGCAATCAATTTGCAAACACCTAGAAGATAATGAGGTGATAAGTAACAGCCATCATGGATTTGTCAAGAACAAATTGTGTCAGACCAACCCGATATCTTTCTTTGACAGGGTAACAAGCTTTGTGGATAGGGGGGAAGTGGTAGATGTGGTATATCTTGACTTTAGTAAGGCTTTTGATACTGTCTCACATGACCTTCCCATATACAAACTAAGGAAATACAACCTACATGGAGCTACTACAAGGTGGGTGCATAACTGGTTGGAAAATCATTCCCAGAAAGTAGTTATCCGTGGTTCACAGTCATGCTGGAAAGGCATAATGAATGGGGTCCCGCAGGGATCGGTTCTGAGTCCGGTTCTGTTCAAGATCTTCAGTAAAACACTGTTGCAAAAAAAGCAAACATCATTACCAGGAATATTGTAAGCGAGACCCGAGAAGTAATTCTTTTGCTCTACTCTGTGCTGATTAGGCCTCAACTGGAGTATTGTGTTCATTTCAGGAAAGATGTGGACAAATTGGAGAAAGTCCAGAGAAGAGCAACAAAAATGATGAAAGGTCTAGAAAACATGACCTATGAGGGAAAATTGAAAAAACTTAAAAAATGGAAAAGACTGAGAGGGGACATGATAACAGTTTTCAAGTACATAAAAGGTTGTTACAAGGAGGAAGGAGAAAAATTGTTCTTACCCTCTGAGGTTAGGACAAGAAGCAATGGGCTTAAATTGCAGCAAGGGCAGTTTAGGTTGGACATCAGGAAAAACTTCCTATCAGGGTGGTTAAACACTGGAATAAATTGCCTAGGGAGATTGTGGAGTCTCCATCATTGGGGATCTTTAAGAGCAGGTTGGACAAACAGCTGTCAGGAATGGTCTAGATAATGCTTAGTCCTGCCATGAGTGCAGGGTACTGGACTAGATGACCTCTCGAGATTCCTTCCAGTTCTATGATTTTATGATTTTATGACTTCAGCTGGGGATTTGGCCCCAACCCCAGCTGAAGATCTGGCCCCATGTCTCCAATGGAGCTATAGCCTATTGACACCGGCTGTAGCCCCATTGACTACAGCTACATTGGAATACAAGCCCCACTGCATGGCTGAGGCTGGCCTGGGTCAACTGAGTCAGGCTCGCGCGACTTGGCTTCGGAGGTTAAAAGTTGCAGTGTAGACGTTCAGGCTTGGAGCAGAGTCCTGGCTCTGGGATCCTCCCGCCTTGCATGGTCCCAGGGGCCAGGTTCCAGCCCTAGCCTGAATGTCTACACAGCAATTTTTAGCCCCACAGCCTGAGCCCCACAAGTGTGAGTCAGCTGCTCCAGGTCAGCCATGGGTCTTTTATTCCAGTGTAGATGTCCCTCGGTGGGCCTCACTCCATGGCTGGGCTAGTACAACCCAGATAATAAACACTGAATCATGCCTGGGAATGTTTCAACCCACCCTTTCCCCCACCCAAAAAGGTGTCGTCGTTGATGTTTTCCATGGGGAATTTTGGAACGAGGCCCTTTTCCTGTTGTGTTGAATGGCGGTTTTCATTTGGGTTTGTAATATATATTAGACTTTGGTGGCATTTCTCCCCAGGTTTCCCCCCTTTCTTGCCACTGAATGCAAGAACCCAAATGACTCACTTAAAGCTTTCTTTGATTATCTTTCCCCTGTCTTTTTGCAGACAGCACCCAGCGTCGGGGGCTCCCAGGTGCTGCCATGCTACAAACACAGCCATAAATAATAAGCACATATCATAGAATCATAGAATATTAGGGCTGGAAGGGACCTCAGGAGGTCATCTAGTCCAACCCCCCGCTCAAAGCAGGACCAATCCCCAACTAAATCATCCCAGCCAGGGCTTTGTCAAGCCTGACCTTAAAAACCTCTAAGGAAGGAGATTCCACCACCTCCCTAGGTAACCCATTCCAGTGCCTCACCTCCTTGTTCTGTCATCTGCTACCACTGAGAACAGTCTAGATCCATCCTCTTTGGAACCCCCTTTCAGGTAGTTGAAAGCAGCTATCAAATCCCCCTCATTCTTCTGTTCCGCAGACTAAGTAATCCCAGTTCCCTCAGCCTCTCCTCATAAGTCATGTGCTCCAGCCCCCTAATCATTTTTGTTGCTGTCCGCTGGACTCTTTCCAATTTTTCCACATTCTTCTTGTAGTGCGGGGCCCAAAACTGGACACAGTACTCCAGATGAGGCCTCACCAATGTCGAACAGAGGGGAATGATCATGTCCCTTGATCTGATGGCAATGCCCCTACTTGTACAGCACAAAATGCCTTAGCCTTCTTGGCAACAAAGGCACACTGTTGACTCATATCCAGCTTCTCGTCCACCATAACTCCTATGTCCTTTTCTGCAGAACTGCTGCCTAGCCATTTGGTTCCTAGTCTGTAGCAGTGCATGGGATTCTTCCATCCTAAGTGCAGCACTCTGCGCTTGTCCTTGTTGAACTTCATCAGATTTCTTTTGGCACAATCCTCTCATTTGTCTAGGTCCCTCTGTATCCTATCCCTACCCTCCAGCGTTTCTACCACTCTTCGCAGGTTAGTGTCATCTGCAAACTTACTGAGAATGCAGTCCACGCCATCCTCCAGATCATCAATGAAGATATTGAACAAAACCAGCCCCAGGACCGACCCTTGGGGCACTCCGCTTGATACCAGCTGCCAACTAGACATGGAGCCATTGATCACTACCTGTTGAGCCTGATGATCTAGCCAGCTTTCTATCCACCTTCTAGTCCATTCATCCAGCCCATACGTCAGGGCCGGCTTTAGGCCGATTCAGCCGATTCGGCTGAATTGGGCCCCGCGCCAAGAGGGCCCCGCGCTGCAGCTATCAACCCCGCCCCGCCCCCAGCTCACTTCCCTGGCCCCTCCTCCCCTCCCCTGAACGCCCCGCCCCCTCCCCTGCTTCCCGCGAATCAGAGATTCGCGGGAAGTCTGAGACGAAGCAGGGGCGGGCCAGCACCACGAGGTAAGCTGGGGTGGGGGCGGGAGAAGGGCTCCGGGGAGGCGCGCCCATCCCGCAGGCCCCAGCGGCTCTGGCCCGGCTTGGCTCCAGCCCGGCCCAGTCCCCGC